AGAAAACCTCATAATTTTTCAATGATTAAAGTAGACAGATCTTTTGTGTAACCAAGAATTATTTAGCATGATAATGGTTTGTGATTATGTTTTTTATCACTTAGTGATAAATACCAAAATATTTACAGATGAAACAATATGATAAATAATAATAAATAATAGAACTGATTTAATAATAATCCAGTGGCACGGGCTATAGTAGATACAGAAGAGAACATGAGGTGTTAAAGCTGTGTGATGGGTACAGTGAGATTCATGACACTAGTTTCTCTATTTTTTTGTATAGCATTGATATTTTTCATAATAAAAGCTTTTAAAAAACCACCAGGAACATCTGTAAAGTATTTCTTTATTTATTTTTGTTGTTAATCCTCACCCAAGGGTATATTTTTCATTGATTTTTGTTGTTGTTGTTAATCCTCACCAGAGGATATTTTTTTCCATTGATTTTGTAGAGAGAGTGGAAGGAAGGGGGAAAGACAGAGAGAAACATCGATGTGAGAGAGACACATTGATTGGTTGCCTCCTGCATGCACCCCGACCAGGGTAGGGGATCAAACCTGTAACCCAAGTATGTGCCCTTGACTGAGAATCAAACCTGTGACCCTAACCAGTGAGCACATAGGCCAGGGCATCTGTAAAGTATTTAGATTTCAGGTCCCACCCCAGAGACATGGGATCCAAGAAACTACAATGTTAACAAACTCCTCCATCCTCACCTGCTCCTAACCCCTAACATCCCAACTCCCACATGCAATTGTTCTTCAGACCACACTCTGAGAAATACTCTGTTTTCATTTCAAGTGATAGTTTGAAATGGAGATGTTCTTCATTATAGATAGTTGCTTGTTATTAAACTTTAAAAAAATGTTTTCATTGATTCCAAAGAGGGAGGAGAAACATCAATGCTGAGGGAGCATCTTGCACTCCTCCTACTGGGATCCAGCCTGCAACATGGGCAAGTGTCCTGATTGGGAATTGAACCGTGACCCCCTGGTTCATAGGTCAATGCTCTACCACTGATCCACACTGGCCAGGCTTGTTTTGATTTTAAAATAACACCCCTGGAGAAATCACCACTGCCTTCCAAAATGACTGAATATGTTCACTGTAGATCTCTCCAGAGGTAATTAAATTTCCAAGAAATATGTCAATGAACATATGTAGATTACATTTAATTCACTGCCACTATACACAGTGAGGTTCAAATCGGGATTTGAGGAAAACACAGAAGTTTTGGCTATTTTAATTACCTTCTCTGTATTTCTGAAATATATAACACCTGCTCTTGTGCCCTCTTCACATTTTGCCCTCCGATATACCAACTTATTCAGTTTCCCTCTACAGAGAAAATCCCATGCCCAGAATCTAAGACGGGTCCATCCAGAGTCTGAGCACATGGTTTTTTGCAAAAGAAAAGGACTACTAGGATATATTTTCTCCAATTTTTCAACTCTGATTTAAAGGCTTCAGCAGATAAAATCTTCAGAAGATCAGAGTGCATCATTTTGAATATGAGTAGTTATGCCTCATATCACCTTTCCCTTTCTCTTCATGCACCCTGCCCACCCAATCTGCCTCCTACTTTTTTTAACCTTTTGGTTAGTCCTCACCAGAGGATATTTTTTCCATTACTTTTTCAGAGAGAGTGACAGGGAGGGAAGGAGGGAGTGGGAAAGAGAGAGGAACATTGATGTAAGAGATACATCGACTGGCTGCCTCCTGCACAGGGCCTTACTGGGGGCAGGGAGAAAACCTGCAACCCAGATATGTGCCCTTGACTGGGAATTGAACCCGAGACCCTTCGGTCCAGAGGCCAAGGCTCTAACCACTGAGCAGAACCAGCCAGGGCTGACTCCTACTTTTAAAAATATATATAGGTCAATGCTCAACCACTGAGCCACGCTGGCCGGGCTGCCTCCTACTTTTAAGAACAAAACAGCCCTAGCCAGTTTGGCTCGGTGGATAGAGCATTGGCCTGAGGACTGAAGGGTCCCAGGTTCGATTCCGGTCAAGGGCATGTACCTTGGTTGCGGGCACATCCCCAGTAGGGGGTGTGCAGGGGGCAGCTGAATTGATGTTTCTCTCTCATTGATGTTTCTAACACTCTATCCCTCTCTCTTCCTCTCTGTAAAAAATCAATAAAATATATTTTTTTAAAAAAAGAACAAAACAGAACCCTCTAGTAGTTAACCCCCCTAAACTCTTTCTATCTGTTCTACCCCTTTCTTTCAACCTCATTAAAAGAGGAATTTCGCTCCCCAGCACTCTTCCACTAGACTTACTGGTTACACCTTCTTGCCCCATCTTTTCTCTCTCTGCTAAACTTACCTTCTTTGCAGAAGTAGGACATTTAGGCTAAGTTCTTCAGTCTTGTAAAAACATGTGTGTATTTGTATATGCCTAATAAAAATTTTTAGCTCTATCCGTTCTGGCTCAGTGAATAGAGCATTGCCCTGCGGACTGAAGGGTTCCAGGTTCGATTTCAGTCAAGGGCACATGCCCTAGTTGTGGGCTCAATCCCCAGTAGGGGGCAGCTGACCAATGATTCTCATCATTGATGTTTCTATTTCTCTCTCCCTCTCCCTTCCTCTCTGAAATCAACAAAAATATATTTTAAAAATTTTTAGATGGCTTGCATTTTTTATTTCTGCATTGTTTCATTTTTAATGAGGATTTATTTATTTCCTTTATGCCAGAAAAATAATATAAATTTCCATTTTGAAAAACCTGAAACAACAAAAGCCAAGTCCATGTTTGGGGTTGAATGACTGAACCAGTTGATGTGTTTTTCTCACATCGATATTTCTCTCTGTCTTTCCCTCTCTCTAAAAATCAATGGAAAAATATCCTCTGGTGAAGATAAAAAACAAAAAACAAAAAAAAAACAGAGTCAGAACCAGAAAATTCGGAGGTAAACTTCCACTTTCATGAGGCTTATGTGGAAACAGTCTAGGTCAGGGAATTCCAGTACCTGTTTTCAAGTCCTACTATTATCATTTCTTGGTTGGTTGATGTTAGGTAAGTTAAATTTTCTGACTTTATGTTTCTTCATTATTAACATGGTGGTAATCATCCCTACACAGCCTATCTTATTTGTAATGACCAAGTAAGATAATTGATATAAATGTAATAATATACATCAATATATATCATTTATCATTAACTCTGTTACAATAGGCAGAGTCAAATATATTTTGAGAGGCAGTGTAAGAGAATAGAAAGAGTATGAGCTTCAGAGTCACACAGACCTGGACTCGAATTCCATCTCCGTCATTCATTGTGCGATCCTGGGTGACTTCACCTCTCTGAGCTTCAATTTCCTGTTTATCAAATGAGTATAATATTATTAACCTGACAAGACTGTTGTGAGGATTAAATGAGGTAATGCATGCAACACATCTGCTGTAGGGCCTGACTCTTAGTACGTACTCAGCAGATATTAATTCTTCCCCTTATTCTAACAAGTTGGGATCAGTTTTCTTATGCTTACATGAAAATCCTGAGCTTGTATTTCCTCAATTAATGCTAAACCACATTAGTAATTACCATCTTAGGTCATCAACAGTCCTCAAAAAGGCTGTTTACTTGCTGCTTTCTTGGGACCAAATTATAAGGTGAGCAGTTCAAATTGAAAGAGTTCAGCATACATATATCCTTTGAAGTGGTAACAGGTTATTGCTGAGACATCTTTAAAAGTATTTTGTTACAAAATAAGACGCGAAACTTATAATGAATATTAAAAAATATCAGAGACACTGGAATACTGGAAAAACAATATTCAAAAAAATTATCTTAATAGTTTTTGATTGTTGCTATCTTTTCTATTTGAACCTCACACACACACAAAAACCCAGAAGCTGGACAGGCTTTATTATTCTGTTTAAAGATGAAGAAACTAAGGCATGAGAAGAAAAAAGAAGAGTGACTTGGTCAAGATTCATCAGTCATCAAGAAACAACCAAGAACTCCACCTTGATCTTTTGACTCCCCATTCAATGCTTTTAAAAACAAGATTTCGGTTAAATACACATAACATAGAAGTATTCATCTATGATCAAATATGAGTTGCTTCTATCTCTGGGCTACTGTGAATAATGCTGCTATGAACATGGGTGTACAGATATCTCTTAAAGACCCTGATTTCAATTCCTTTGGATATATACTTAGAATTGGAATTGCTATTTCATATGGTAATTCTATTTTTAACTTTTTGAGGAACCACCATACTGTTAGGAGGATCAGCCATACATAGTGGCTGCACCATTTTACACTTCCACCAACAGTGCACAAGGATTCTAATTTCTCCACATTCTTGCTAGCGCTTATCATTTCCTACTTTATGTTTTTGTTCTAATAGCCATCCTAATGGATGTGAAGGGCAGTATCTCATTGTGGTTTTCTTAAGAGTTTTGAAGTCTTCTGTAGAGATGCCAAAACACTAAGTAAACCTGGGTAACATCACCAACAGTTTAAAGCATTAAGATGCTACTAGATTTAATACACTGTAGGAGGCAACAGTACACAGTCCTTGCCTTCAAGGATTTTATAATCTAGCTGAAAAGAAAGGATACGTGCATTTAAAAATAAATAATGATGCAAGATAACATAGTCAAAATGATAAGTATTACATGAAGACAGAGAAGGATAAAATTATAGTAGGCTGGCTGATTAGAAAAGGCCTTAAAGAGCAATTTTAAAAGGAAGGGTTTAAATCAGTGATGGCGAATCTATGACACGCGTGTCAGAGGTGACACGCGAACTCATTTTTTTTGGTTGATTTTTCTTTGTTAAATGGCATTTAAATATATAAAATAAATATCAAAAATATAAGTCTTTGTTTTACTATGGTTGCAAATATCAAAAAATTTCTATATGTGACACGGCACCAGAGTTAAGTTAGGGTTTTTCAAAATGCTGACATGCCAAGCTCAAAAGGTTCGCCATCACTGGTTTAAATTATCCAAAAGAAGAGGAGGAAATTAATTTTTTATTTCAAGTATTATTCAATGCATTCTTTCAACATTTATTGGGCTCCTAATAAATTCTAAACACTGTGCTGAGATTGGGGGTTACTAAGTCTCTCAAGAGCAAGGCAGAAAGATGGGCAATGAGTAGTGACAATCCAAGGTACTGAGTATGTACACGGTGTGCTGAATCTTTTTTCTTTCTCTCCCCCGGCCCACATTTCTTTTTTACACATTAACTTTTTTATTGTGGTAAAAACATATGACATGAAAGTTACCATCTTAACCATTTTTTAAAAAATATTTTATTTATTTATTTCAGAGAGGAAGGGAGAGGGAGATAGAAACATCAATGATTAGAGAGAATCATTGATCTTGTTGGGGTGCATAGAGACCCCCCCCACATATTTGACTGCCTTCAGATATCTCTGGACCAAAACTCTCCTAGTTGTTCTCAGAGAAAATTTCCATATTGATTTATTTCCAGTGTGATTTTGTTTCTTCACTTTCAAGCCTGGGTAGTTAGCCTATTGGGTTCTCCCAGGGAGCCTGTTTTGTAAAGGCCCCTTAACAAGTCTTAGTATTTTTTGGTTATTGATTTCACTGCAGCTTCATGCATCTAGTTAATCGGGCTGGCAGTGTAGGTAGCGCTTTATTTTGGTGAACACTAGTTTCTCACAATTATATTCCTTTTGTCATTTGTAAAGCAATGTGCCAGTCCTCCAGGCTCTGTGGGCTTCTGGCCAAGCCAAGAAGCCGGAGCCTCAGTTTGCACACATGGCAGTGGAGGTGCTTTGAAGTGGATTGTCTGCATGTTGGCCATTAGAATAAAAAAATTGGAAAAATAAAAACAAGAGAACCATTGATCAGCTGCCTCCTGCATGCCCCCTACTGGGGAGCAAGCCTGCAACCTGGGCGTGTGCCCTGACTGGGAATCAAACTGTGACCTCCTGGTTCATAGGTCCACGCTCAACCACTGAGCCACACCAGTCGAGCAATTTTACCATTTTTACGTGTACAGTTCAGTAGTGTTAAGTACATGCATATTATTCATGCAACCACTCTTCAAAACTTTATCTTCTTGCAAAACTAAAGCTCTATACTCATTAAACACTAACTGCCCATCCCCTTCTCCCCCCAACCTCTGGCAACCACCATTCTACTTTCTGTTTCTATGAGGATGATTACTATAGATACCTCATATAAGTGAAATCATACATAAAGTTGTCTTTTTGTGACTGTCTTATTTCACTTAGTATAATGTCCTCAAAATTGAATCACTGCTTCCTAAGAGCCTACTAATCTATCAATAAGACTATTATCACCTCATTTTACAGTGAATCATAAAAGGAGTATGTAAAGCACATTTTTTCCAGACTATATTCATGCCCAATTTTTTCAAATGGAATATAGCTAGGAAGTTTGCCATTCTCCCTTGGGAAGGAGGCTACATTTAAGAAGATAAGGCTGTTACAAGTTAGTATTTAGCTCTCATCTATCACCCATATGGGTTCTTACATTCACAAACATGTGCTAGGCACTGGGGAAGCAAAGAAAGATCAGTAAGGCACAGAATTCTGCCCTCCAGGATCTCAAAGGTAGCTATAATATATGATAAGGGCTATAATCTATACTAATAAAAGGGTAATATGTTAATTAGACTGGGTCAACCGGACATCTTCTGGACATCCGACTTCCTTCTGGACAGTTAGGGGTGACCAGGCTGGCAGGGACCAGTTAGGGGGTGATCAGGCCGGCAGGTAGAGTGGTTAGGGGCAATCAGGCAGGCTGGCAGAGGAGCAGTTAGGGGGCGACCGGGCTGGCAGGGGGGCCGTTAGGGGGCGATCTGGCCAGCAGGGGGGCTACTAGGGAGTGACCAGGCCGGCAGGAAACCAGTTAGGGGGCAATCAGGCCAGCAAGCAGAGGTAGTTAGGGGCGATCAGGCAGGCAGGAGAGTGGTTAGGGGCAATCAGGCAGGCCAGCAGGGGAGCAGTTAGGGAGCGGCTAGGCTGGCAGGGGGGCAGTTAGGGGGTGACCAGGTTGGCAGGGGACCAGTTAGGGGGCGCTCTGGCCAGAAAGCAGAGGCAGTTAGGGGCAATCAGGCAGGCAGGTAGAGTGGTTAGGGGCAATCAGACAGGCAGGCAGGCAAGCGGTTAGGAGCCAGTGGTCCAGATTGCAAGAGGGATGTCCAACTGCCGGTTTAGGCCCCATCCCTGTGGCAGTTGGACATCCCCCAAGGGATCCCAGATTGGAGAGGGTGCAGACCGGGCTGAGGGACCACCCCCCCTGCATGAATTTCGTGCACCAGGCCTCTAGCTGAGTAATGAAAGAAGACAAGTTGAAATGATTAGCTTTCCCCCCACACACACTAAGTAAATCATAGGCTTCTTTTAAAAAGTAACATCTAAGCTGGATCTTAAAGGATGGCAGAAGTTCATCAGATGGGAAGAGAAGGGACAGACATTTCAACCAGGGGACCAGCATGTTCAGGAGATTTAGTGTAGTTATTTAGTGTAGCTGGAACTTAGAATACATGATGGGGAGTATTAAGAAAGGTAGAGAGTACAGTGCTGAGAAGCGCTGGAGAGGCAGACTGTGGATAGTTTTATTCTAAAAGTAACAGATAAATAACTGATTTTTAGGCAGAGGAACAGCATGATTGACTTTTTAGAGGAAACTGCAGGCCAGATGGAGAATGAACTGACGTTACAAAAAGCCAAGACCGTAACATCAGAGAAGGATGTCAGCTAGTTAACCAAATAGGGTCTCACAGATCCTGCTGGAGTTCAGGATCTCCTATTTGGCCTATAAGACAAGAAATCTGATTTTCCTAATGCATCTAGCATGGAAATATACTTGAGGACTGACTCACAATACCTAATTCATAAAAAAATGTGGTATAAAGTATAATTCTAATTTACTAATACACATTCATTTATCAAACACCTATAAAGAATCTTTGTGTTAAGTGTTTTTCTAGGTTCTAGGGATACAGCTGTGATTAACAATTTCCTGCCCTCACAGAGTTACATTCTAGAGTTTAAAATATTTTTTCAGTGACTAATATATTTGTGTTTGAACCTTGGCCAGTGTTGTTAAATGGTTAGAGAGTTGACCCTGGCACCAAAAGGTCTTGGGTTTGATTCCGGATCAAGGGCATGTACCTGGGTTGCGGATTCAGTTGGAGTATGCGCAGGAGGCAGCCAACCAGTCATCTCTCTCTCTCTCTCTCTTTCTCTCTCTCTCTCGTAAAGCAATGGAAAAAATATCCTTAGGTGAAGATTAACAAAATATATATATTTGTGTTTGCTGTCCAGAGGATTTCCTTCCCGGTATAAAGGTACCAGGGACTCTAAGTTGGTAATTAAAATGTTGTTTGGTGAATGATGAGAAAAAAAAGAGAGGTGGATGATTTTATTCAGGAACCAAGTGAAGCCTAAAAAATTATTTATGTTAATAAATAGCTTAACAATGTTCTTTGGGTTTACAATTTCTCAGTCCTGAACACGGCTGGATGAAAAAACATGGCCAAATCCTGGCAGATTCCTCCCTTTCTGGGTTCCAGGTGAACCATTTCAATTCTAACACATTCTTTCAGACATATTGGATTACAAGTAATTTTAATTACTTCTTTGGGGGATCCTCACTATACTTTCTACTACATGAACCCAAAGATAAGTTCAATTTCAGTCATTTTTACTATACATGATTAAATGAAGGCTCCGCCCTAACCAGTTTGGCTCAGTGGATAGAGCATCGGCCTGTGGACTGAAAGGTCCCAGGTTCGATTCCGGTCAAGGGCATGTACCTTGGTTGCGGGCACATCTCCAGTAGGAGGTGTGCAGGAGGCAGCTGATGGATGTTTCTCTCTCATCGATGTTTCTAACTCTCTATCCCTCTCTCTTCCTCTCTGTAAAAAATCAATAAAAATATATTTTAAAAAAATAAATAAATGAAGGCTCCAACTTCAACTATATTACTGTAAGCAATCATGTTAAAATTTGGGGCACTACTGGATTTTTGTCCAGTAATTCAACAAATATTTACCAAATATCTAAGTGCCTGTGATACTAGGCTTTGTTACATGTTGGGAATATCAGACTGAACAAGACAGGTTGTACCTATCCTCAAGGAATTTACATACATTTAAGTAGTGAAGTGAGATTATGAAAATCACCACTAAACAACTGACCAATAAATTAATTGTGGTGTAATGAAGGAAAGGGGCAAGAGAATGTTATAATATCCAAGAGACAGATGAAAATCACCTGGACTAGGCTAGTGGCATTGGAGAAAGAAATGGTTGGATTTGAGATTTATTTTGAACATAGAATCAAGATTTGATAATGAACTGAGTGAAGGTGAGGAAAAGGAAGGACTCAAGTTAACTCCTGGGTTTCTGACTTAAGCAACTGGGCAGGCAGTGCCCTTGAGATGAAGAAGACTTGCAACAGGAAATACCCAGAGTTTTAAATACAGTAACTTTGAGATCTCAACATGAAAATGTAGATAAGTAGAGAAGTAGGCACTTGAATATGTGAGGTTGAAAGGTTTGGTTTGAAAATATGGATTTGGTAATCACTGACATAATGACAGTATTTGGAGATAGTATTTTCATTAGAGTATATATAACCTAGTCAACTTGATTAGAAATGCTGATTCCTAAATCTCCTCAGTGACACATTTTCTCAGAAATCATTTCTATATATGACTAGTTAAGAATTCATTCCTACTAGTTTAGTTCTCAAAGGATAACTATTCAAGACTTCTTTGGGGGATCCTCACTATACTTTCTACTACATGAACCCAAAGATAAGTTCAATTTCAGAGTTACCAGTGCTTTTCATTAATATCTCAGTGACTTGCTTTTTTTTTTTTTTTTTGTCTCTCACCAAAGCTAACTCTTAAAGGCCTCATATAATTAGGTGCTCATGGATCAAAAGGGTTGAATAGGTCTGGATTTCTCTGCAGATTAGAATCTCTATTTAATTATGGTTTCTATAAGTTAAATGTCAATTACAAGGATGTATGGACTTGCTTACCAAGTAGAAAGAGTACTGGACTAAGACTTATGAGATTGGAGTTGTAGTTCAAGTACTATAACTACAGCCCCTATAGGCCTGCTATTTTATGGGTCAAGTGAAGAGACTATGGAATATTTTAAAGACTATGAAAACACAAAAGTTAGTTTACAATTGAAGAATTATAACCCTTAGCTTACTATTGGGCAGCTGGAGATCTGGGGTGGGGCTGAGCATCAAGAATGGCCCAGTGTAAAGATTCCAGTAGTCTGTTTCTGGATTTCTCACTAATTTTTGTGCACTTCATAACTTGGCGTCTGTGTCTATAAAACAAGAAAATCACAATGATTTCACTCACCATTACGGGAAGAAATTAATAAATGCTTATGTTTTGCAGAGATTCCTAGATGAAAGAGGTTAGAAAAATACAAATGATTTGTGTTGATGTTCCTATTAGCTTAGTCTAAGTAAGATCTATCTCCTGGAAAAGCTTAGCTTCCATTGCTTTGTGACTTGCCAACACCCCAGGGAATTTTGGCTTTTCCTGGGAAAAAAATTACTACCTTTGGGGAAATCTCTGAAGAAAGTCTTGCAAGTAGCCAGTTTAGGGAGGTCATGCCTGGTACCATGCTGTAAAGGAAAATAAATCTTTTCACAAAAGCGATCAAGATAATTTGCTAATCATACCAGCATTTCCCAAACAGGGAATTACCTACCACAAGCCAAATCCTGTGCATTCTTTCCAGCAGCACCCCCCCCCCCCCCCCTTCTTTTAAAACCCCCCCCCGTTTTTTTAGTTCTGTTTGTTAATCCTCACCTGAGGGTATTTTTCCATTGAGAGACAGAGAAACATTTATGTGAGAGAAACACATAGATTGTTTGCCTCCGGCCTGGGGAAGAGCCTGCAACCGAGGTACCAGCCCTTGACCGGAATCAAACCCGGGACCCTCTGGGACGCAGGCCACGCTCTAACCACTGAGCAAAACTGGCTAGTGCTCAGCACCCTCTTTACGAATGCCCACTGTTCCTCATGCTGTCTCCCCTTGCAGGAAACAAGCCCAACCTTGTTCAACTATAGGGGCGTTCGCGGAGGTCTTTGGTGGAGGGCATTAACACAGCGAGAGCTCCCTAAAGGGCAGGTGCTACTATGCCTCAAGGGATCTTCGTGATGCACGGGGCGCGTTCATGCAGAGACTTCATAAACAAGTATTTTGAGGTGCCGACCGTCCGCCTCTGGCCAGGCCGTTTCTCCTCTGGGTACGTCTTTTCTCTTTGGTTTGCGGCCTCCCAAGTTGAAATCCAACATGTTAGGTTAAATTTCCCATGAAGTAAAACCCCCTCGGGAGGTGACCTCCAGCTCCAATTTAGAGTTCCTCAAACACTAAAACACCCCAAAGGGGCACGGTACAGGTAATAGGAAAATTAAAGCCCCAACGGGTCCACATTACTGTTTTACCCCTCACCCCAACCCAGGAGAAATGGCCCTGAATTCACTGTACAAGCAGACGCTCTACTCCGCGAAAGGATTTGAAGGAAAAGTCACCACAGCAAAACCCAACCTTCCCGGAAGTCTTCCTCAGACGTCACGCACACGCAGAGGTCGCTGCGAGGCCGCCGCGCAATTGCCCGCCTCCTCTAAGAGGACTACAAGTCCCGGCGTGCCTCGAGATGCGGCGTCGCCTCGTAACTCGCGCCAGACAGCGCGTTAGGGCAGCTCCTCCGCGCGCCTGCGCCGTGACGGGCTCTGCGCAGGCGCATTTTCAACGCTTGGGAGTCGAGGGCGGGGTATCATCCCTTTCGCTGATGCAAGAGCCTAGTGCGGTTGTGGGAGAGGTGTTGGTGAGATCTCTACCGCGGCTGAGGCCTGGGGCTAACCTGTTCGACTTCTCGTCCGTGCGGATCCTACTCGAGCCGCAGCCATGTCCGGAGACGAGGTGAGGGCCTAACCCTGGCGTTAGGGCTGGGGACTGAGGCGGGGAGCGGAACCCATCCCCGTGTGGGAGACCGGGTCTGCGGCCTAGCGCCGGCCGCCATGTGGGACAGCCGGGCCTAGGCGGCCGGGAGCAGTAGAGCCAGCGAGAACTCCGGAGCCGCGGGCTTAGCCGCGTCCCGCTCTCCTCAGGGCGGCGGTGCTGAAGCCGGCTTTTCCAGAATGGAGGGTATATTGAGTCGCCCACCTAGAATGGGGCTTGAATGCCGGTTAATGTCCCAACTGAACGAGATTGGGGCTGGCGACCCCTGCATTCCTCTCGATTTGACACTGTGGCTCCTACACTCCTCGCTGGGCTCCGGGCGCGGCGTGGGGAGCCTCCCTGAGCTCCGGCGGAGCGCCCTCGTTGAAAACTTTTGTAAGCTGGCTTTTCCTGGTCGGTATCCGCCGTTCTCATCTCGAGCACTATTTCTTAAGAAGTCCAGAGGGTCGGGGAGATAGGATGAGAGGTCAAGATGCTTCAGCCTCAAAAAGTGCGTAACTTTGGAAAGTTTTGAGGTGGAGTCCCTGAGTTTTCCTTCACGGAGTTCACAGCGACGAGAGCGGGAAGTCCGGGCTGCGAAGCTGGCCGGGCCTTTTTCTACCCTCGTGCTTGTACCTCAGCAAATTTCCCCAAATCCCTTCTGGCCAAATCTATCCCAATTCAAGTGAAATCAAACGGCTTAAAATGAAATTGGATTTTAGGTGTTGTCAGTAGGTATTCGTTAACCCTGGGGGGAGAGCTACCGCTTCCCGGCCAGCTCTCCCCACCACAATAAAGGGCTCTTGACTTTGTCATTCATTTCTGTCAGCATTCGAGTGCTTGGTCCAGAGGGCCTTGGAGAGAAGGAAGAGGAAAAATTCGAGGCTTTTTGGAGCGCTGGCTTCGGAGGTAGCCCTTGAACGATCCTTAGCATTTCCTCTTGTGATGGAAAGGCTGATCTTAGGGTGAGCGGGTGGTTAAGACGGCAAGTAAGAGGGCTCACGGAAAGTAGACTATCTTCTGATTTGGTTAGCGTTAATCCCTTGAAATGTGGTTAGTGGCCAGTTCATGGAGGGGTTTGAAGACCAAATTAAGGAATTTTGGATTTATTCTGGAGGGGACTCCAATCCCTCATTTGACTTCCACAGTAATCCTCTAAGATAAGTATTACTGTTAGCCCCATTTTATGGATGAGAAAACTGAGGCTTTGAGTGTGGTATCATGCCCATGATCAAAGAGTAAGTGGCTGAGCCAGTAGTAGAATTCCAGATCTATGTAATATTGCCTACATCTAGGTGACCGGGAGGGAGGCTCTTGCTCTCTCAGGAGAAACTGAGAGTCTGAAGGTAGTAGGTGGTTCTTGCTTGGAGGTCATGGTAGACATTGCTCTGGGCTACTGTATTTCAAAAGTCCAGAGAGTGGCAATGTTTCACGTTTGTTTTTTCTACATATTTTCTAAGCTCTTCATAACCTTTAAAAATAAAGCACTTACGTAGTACAAAGTACTGTGGGGTGCTGTTTGTGTGGTTTCGATGGTAAAGTGCTCACAAGTGATATAGGGGAGGTAAGAGAGGTCAACTAGTTTCTACAGGAGATAGAAAGAGCCATCAACAGAGAGATTTGTGGTAGCGGAGGATTCAATTTTAGCAGTGGGATCAGGTTTTGAAGGAAGTGGAATATGGCAGAACCAGCATTCCCGTAGAGAACTTTTGGAAGCCCATAAAATATTAAGTAGCTTGGCACTTTTTAGGCCTACCAGTCCAACTTCATTTTATAGGCAGGAAGCTAGGGTTCAGGGAGGTTAACTTGCCCAAGATCACATAGCAAGTTAGTGGGACTAGAACCAGCCTTTGATTTCCACTCTGGAGGGGTGTGAAGGTTCTGGTTTCTCCAGTATTATTGACTAGAAAAGTATTCTTAGGCCAATCCTTAATTTCTGACTACTTTACAGACAAGCAAAAATTTCTACATGGAAACAATGAAAGTAAGCTGTACACAGTTCTTTTTCATTTTAGAGAAAGGAGGGAAGAGAGAGAAACATCAGTTTGTTGTCCCACTTATCTATGCATTCATTGGTTGATTCTTGTATGTGCCCTGACCAGGGGATGGAATCCACAATCTTGGCTCATAGGAATGATCCTCTAACCAACTGAGCAATCCGGCCAGGGCTGTACACATTTCTTTTTATACCTGATAATTAAGCCAGAATTCACCACAACATAGCCTTTTTTAACCTAGTGGAACCAAGACCTTTAAAAAGCTGTATTTGAGAAATATGGGTGATGCCTGTAAGGAAAAATCCTCTAATCTGTAGGCATTCATTATTTTCCAGACCAATTTTTTAAAAGTGCTGTCAATAGTTAAGATTGCTTATTACTAGATCCTGTTCACTAAGTGTCAGAACAATGGGTTTTCATACAACACAGTAAGGTAGTTTACAAAAGAAGCTTTAAGCTAAAGAAGTTTCTGATTTTAAAATGGAATGTGTGTTGTACTAAATGTACAGAATGCAGAAGAATACAAAGAGAAATAAAAATCTAGAATCCTATCACCTAGAGATAACAACAGTCTTAAATTGCTTTTAAGTCTTAAAAAGCAATTTTTTAGTCAAGATGGACATGGCCTTGTGGTTTGGGGGAGGTCTGCTTTGGGCACTGCTTTGGGATCCCTGGTTTCCTTATTTTTAACTCTGAGAGGTGGTGTGAATAAAATTAGGGGATGAGTGTGTCGTAAGTATCCAGAGTCAGTAATTAAGAGAGATATTAATTATTTCAGTGTATAATTCCTGCATGTTTCATACCCTTTACAAGGCTACAAGTAAACTGTTAACCTGTAGGTTAAATACGAATGTTTTTCAGAGGATAAGGCACTTGTGAGACTGTCCTCTTTTGATTTCAGGACCCCTCCCATCTTTGGTCTGTCATGCTGAGTAATAATAAATGTAATTATTATTCCAGGGTAGTTGCTACTTGGGGGGAAAAAAAGCAATAAATGAATTGTAAGCCCTGCCAGACAACCAAACTTATAGTACCTGGAATGCTCTGGTCTTTTGCCAAATGTCCTTATCTCAGGAGTGTGTATGAACTGTAGCTACCTCCTTGGACATTCCATGTAGGGTGACCTGTGGCTTAGTAGGTCAGCAGTGGGGAACTCCTTCCTCCTGGTTCTTTAAGTTTGCCAAATTAAGTTCTTCAGACTGACTGCATTTCAGAATTACTCATTTACACAGTTATGTCCTTCTTAAGATAGGAGAGGATAATTGAGATGAGGCTATATCGGTTTCCACAATATCTTGCAGATCCTTCTCTATCGAGTGAGGACTATACCAACCCTACTTTATTATAGACCACAGTTTGGTTTCAGTGTAGCTCAGTTTCCTTAATGTACTTAGGACATAAAGAAATTTAAGCCCTGGCTGGTGTGGTTCCATGGTTAGAGTGTCAGCCGGTGCAGCGAAGGGTCGCGGGTTCGATTCCCGGTCAAGGCGATGTACCTGGGTTGCGGGTTTGATGCTCGATCGGGCATGGAGAAGGCAAGAACTTACCTGGGGTAATACAAGTAAGAGCCAGAGTCAGAACTTGAATTTAGTCAGTTGGGCACCAGACACCTCACTGTACTGTCATAGCAGTTCGTTGGGGAAAATGCTAAATTTAAGCTTGATAGAATTTGGACAAAAATTGGTGAGGAGCTTAGAGAAAAAAATACTTGGTATTTGAATCCAATTCTGTTTGACGTCAGTGACCTCAGTCTTTCCACTGTACTGGTGTCTACCCTATATGTTGTTTAAACTGTTATGTCTAAAATACTTTATCTGTATTTTTTCTCCAAGTGATCAGTACAGTCTGCAGCAAGGTATAAATTAATGTTTCGCTTATTCTCTAATGGACATCAGATAAAAATAACCCAAAAAAACTTTAATGTTCAGAAACAAAAAGCAGAGTAAAAGGTTATATAGAAGTTTCTCTTACTCAGATACAGATTTGCTATGTGAAGGGTTGCTGGTGGATTTCCTTAAAGGTTTGTCTGAACTTAAGGATAATATTTAAAAATTTTTTTTATAAGTCAAGTCTTCTGGTGTAGTAACCCCAGGTTACCAACCTTAAATAAACATGTATAATCTACCTAGGTATTGGTTTTCTCATCCACAAAGTCAGGGGTGTAGCAAAGGTTATTACTAAGGTCCCTTCACTACATTCCATGATTAATTCATCATAAAGTCTCCACATTTGCTCATGAAACTATAAGTGAAGTTGCTGTATCTTGTGGTAATTTACAAATTGAAAGGCAGTGCACAAGTTTAAGGAACACCCCCCTCCACTCTCATTCCATGTTTAATAGTATAAGGAGAGTTGGATGGCCTTGTTTTTAATTCTGTTTTTTTGGTACTTGAGTGCAGCAAATACTCTTACTTTTTTGTTGTTGTTACTCCTCACCCAAGGATATTTTTCCCATTGTTTTTTAGAGAGTGGAATGGATGGATGGAGAGAAACATCGATGTGAGAGAGGCACATCACTTGGTTGCCTCCCGCATGCATCCTGACTGCAAATCAAACCCGTGACCATTCAGTGCCTGGGCCGATGCTCTGACCACTGAGAAACACGTTGCGCCAGAGGGAAATACTCTTACTTTTAAGCATATGTCTTTTGAGAATAAAGCATAGTTGGAGTGTGAAAACAATCACTT